TTTAGGGCCGCTTTTTCATACTTAAACGCGTGAACTCATGAGGCGTTCTTGTGAATAAGGGTCGTTTTGAACAATTCAACCAAAACGGAAACCTCGAGACGGAGAAATAAGTCACCAAGACATGACCCGAAATCGCCTCGTCTCATCGGACAGGGTGTTGGTTGGAAATTGTTTCTGGAGCGTGTACATGTTGTGAAAGGTTATACACACTACTAACAAGTGGGGAAAAGTGCGCTATGATATAATCGCTAGAACGTTTTCGCGCTAACTAACTTCCACGTTAGCTTCATGCTCCTTCGCAACGAGGACAACAAGCTGTACCACTCTGTGCTTTCACGCTACTAACCCATGGCCGAAGAAGCTCGAGCGAGACGTAAAAGAAGCCAAAAAGCGTACAGAATGCGACGCGACGACCGACTTTCAGCCCCAACGACGCGATCTATACCAGTATGTCACGGAACGACGCCGCAGCGTCCCACACCATATCGACGCCCTATAGTGCACGAAGTCGACGAAACACAACTGTCGTTACAGTTTTAACTTCATGAAAGATTCCGAACCTTATTTCAATAAATATATCTGTAACTAGAGCACTTTTTTCGTTTTAACTATGGAATGTCAAGATATAAATTGCTGTCTGACCCTGAAGAACATATATTATCATTTACATTGAGTTTCCATCTAGCCGTTTTATCAGTTAAAATTACCTTCAGCTTGACCTCCGTACAGCAGCCTGTACAAATAAATAAAATCGAAATTAATTATCATTATCATTAATTTATGGAGTTATTAAGGAAAATATTTTTCATTAATTACCTAGTCAACGTTACATTTTTGATTATTCTAGTAACTACGAAATTTGTTGTAACTCACTAAAAATTGTGCTTTTGGTAAGAAACAAACAAAAAAAAATGTGGCTCAGTTTTTAATTTTGGTGTCTAGTTCGTAGCGATCTTGTAAATTGTTCCACAGAAGTTTCACCCGAGCAACGTTCAGACAGACCTATGCCTATGCCGCCAGGGATAGCTGCTTTTTTCGAGTAAAGCGGTATCGATCGCACGGCCGAATGTATACCACATTAACGTTAGTGCAGCATCATCATGCAAAACTCTTATAGCGTGGTCCAGCGCGCATGACTGCAGTTTCTTACACCAAAACACGCTGTTCCTTGAGCGTGCATCAGGGTGCTTCCCATGTTTACTGACCAACTCGCAAATTCCGCTTCTCAGTAGCGGCTCCCATTCCATCACGAATCTTTGCAATTCTTTGCTGTCGGACAAGTGAGCAGGATAGCACTCACGCAAAAGGTTAACCACTTGGGACATATAGCCTATTGCAGTAGCCTTGGCATGAGAGCCGCCTCGTGCACTCGGCTTAGTTTGCATGAAAATTGAAAAGTAGTTAGCAAAGAGTAGAAATATTGGCTGGCAAATGTTCCAGAAGCAGACAAAGTCTTAGCAATACTATCATTGAGTCCTCTTTCGTGTTTCCAAGAGCTAAGAATTCGAGGAAGAACTTTATTGCAGCTGCCTCCTGGCCCGCTTTCCCTTCCGGGACATCTAGCCCTCTCTCAGCTCGCTGCA